TGGCTTTATCGCATATCCGAGAGTCAGGTTCCCATGGAGTGGGTTTCTACTCCTCACATTCGTCGGAAACACGGGTTAACAAACCTTTTAGCAAGTTTTCCTACCTGCCTTCCGAGCCAAAGCTGTTTATGTGGCTGCCACTCGACACACATTTGGAATATATACACCTTAGCACATGCATTAACCGACTGGCATGACATACTGTAGTATATAGATTTATATACTTACAAAAACGATAAGATAGGAATACGAAAAGTGGCTCTATCGAGGGCTTCTGCCGTTTTCGATTGCGTTTAATTGCATCAAAATGTATTTATAATTTGGAGCGTAAACAAGCGGTTCAGGGTCAAGCGAATAGTTTTGGGCCCCAAATGTGTCAGCTCAATGGACCTCACACACTCACTCGGCCAAGTGTCATCCAAACAATTTGGATTATCGTGTGATTTATTGTGATGCCTGGGCAGCACTATCAAAACCCAAATCTCAGGGGGATTGAGCCTCTCTGTCCGAAGGCGACACAAAGTATTTCCATTTCAAAATGCAGCCAATGGTCAGCGGATTTCGTAACTCGAATGCAAACTGCACAGGTGGACAAGTTTAGGAGAGGCCCAGAAAATAAAAGAAAAAATTTGGGTCTCGGAAATTTGGTTCAGGTTCGTCGACGTCGTCGTGCTTATGTCATTTGTTGTCATTATGAACAAAATTATTATATTAATTGTGTCTCACAAACTGGAGCGTCAACAATAGCTGGCAATTAAATTTGGGTCTATGATGTGTCAAAAAAATAATATAAGCCAGCAGGGAAGACAAAAAGCACGTGGTGTGGTCTATGGTCCCCCAAAAAAGCACAAACTATTGCAGCAAGTTTATAATAAATGCATTTCAGGCAGCAACCTAATCTGAAATAAACATAATATATGGTCCCAGATTCCAAGAAATTTCGAGTGGGTTACCAAGTCGACAAGAGTTGCAAAATCGAAATGTTTGGGGGTTGTGAAAGAGTGGAGAAGATGTTTTAAGTTTAAACTAAAATATCTATCTTAGGGGGGAGTAAGGCCTAAAAGGTTTTTGGTTATTTCTACAAAAACTAATTATAGATTTATAAAAATGATAGGCAAGAAATCGTTGACCTTATCCCAAATTGAAGCATTTCAAAACCCCTCCATAAGAAAATATCCCCATCTCTAATGGCTAATTGAGCCCATTGAACTAGCTTAATAAATAGGCGGCCCATTACAATTATCATTTGGTAACTCTTCATTTAGACTCCACCCAAAGCTCTTACTATATTACTAGACAAAGAGATAAGCATGGGCTAACCAAAAATTAGACACAATTTCCCCCCCGACCAATTAAAGATACTTCCACCAAAAGTCTCGTTTTTTATTTTTCCTATTTTCCCTCAACCAACGGACGGCAAAAAGTGAACCAATTTGTTGCCGAGCTTTAGTTTCGTTATAATTTTGTTTGGGTTTTCTAGTTTCGGGGCATTTTTTGGCCCGTTGTTTGGGTAATTTTTAGTGTAATTATTTAAACATTAAACCAGTTGAGCGGCCAGTTGTTTGTATTGTCAGTGAAAACAAGAAAGTCATAGACATGAAAATGAAATATCATCACCCAAGCGGATGATTCGAGCCCAAAAAAAACGTATTTTTTCTAGCTTTCTTTCGTATAGATCTCTTTGATTAATTCGGGAGAAATGTGTTTGAAAACGGAAGAACAAAATTAAATGAGATGAATCAAAGGAAACTCAACGAAAATCAACAGCTGGCTGGGAAAGAGAGAACCTACCGCAACAATTTCACCCCTTCCATTTTCCATTTGTATTCCGAGTTTTCCGATTTTCCAGAACTGCGCATGACCCATGACCTTGAGGCGAAGCCTCAGCATTGAGTGTGGGCGGCTTTTCCAGTGGAAAACATTTTCAATAACCAAACACCTGCTGGCGCATCGGGTTGCCCAATTTTCTGAGAGCCTGCTGAAAAACGTAATGGCGAGTTTGTGTGTTGACAGATTCAAGCGCCAATTTTATCGGTGAGCCCGTGAAAATGTGGAAAAGCCTGGTGGAAATTGCTGCGCGCCTAATCGAGGCGCCAGAGGGCGCGGCGACCCGACGGCGCCGTCGACGTTTTCCCATAAAGAGCACCATCTCCCACGCCTCGATTTCTCTGGTCCGGGGGTTACCGGGGGTTCCTCAGGGGTTCCCGAGGGTTCCGCGGGTCTGGAGCGGAACTCGACACAATCAATGATTCGCTGCGCCTGGCGATGCGGTTGTCAGGAGACGATGGAGCGCGATTTTCAGTCCGAGACCTGAACTGAAATCAAGACCGAAATCGAAATCGATGCGGCAAGTTCAAAGCCCCCGCCGAAAATGTAACCTGCGAATAAGTTCCACCGATTTTTTGTGTTCATTGTTTGGCTACGGATAAAACAGAAGCAGCCGAATGGGAACCATTAGAAGGTGCTAGAGTCTGATGGCATCTACCATGAACCATCAACCATCAAGCATCTACCATCTGTAATAACTTGTTTGAGCAGACTAATTACCCCTGCTGGCGGTTCTCGAGGTTCCCGGGCGAACCTTTCGATATCTCACCCAATGTCTGGGATTTTAGCTGCTAAATTAGCGGCAATTAAGGTGTTACAAGGTGATCTCTGTTTGCCCCGAAGAAAGTCCCGATGATAAGTATAAACAAAGGTGAGGTGTTAATTGTGCATTAGAAACCATTAAATTATAATGCTAAGAGTTTTTTGGGAGCCCAGAGCTTATGTAAAAATATGTTTAATTAAAGGGGGATTTTAAAACCATGTAATGTGAATACCAATGAAAATATGCCCTTAAGGCATAAGAACATTTTTCATATCACATTCCTGAAGCTTTAGCCGCCATTCTTTTTGTAGTTCCTTCACCTCTGCGATACACACAATTCAATTAATATTTCCCAGTAACTTCCTGTATCTGCGTGCCCTTAAGAACAACCTATGTACCTGGCTAATTGCTTATAAGAGCTAACTAATTGGCCTCGCCGATACAAATGCCGGCTATAAACAGAGTTGGCCTGGCCAAATAGAGAGGCCCATACGAAGAGATCATCACCGAGAAGGCATATAAAAATGCAGTAGAATGCAGTTAATGCCGCAGGCCAAAAGCTCGGTGAGTCACATTAAGGGCCACCTAGGCGGATGAAGATCCACATCGCTGCCCACTCACAAACGCATTTTCCAATTAACGTGGCTTATCTAAAAGCCGATAGATTACCGGCCTGTATTTTGACAGTCCCCGCAGACGAATGATTAAACAATTAGCTGCGAGACAGACTCAGACACGTTCTGTAGATGCAGAGATTCAGAGATCGGGAGACAAAAAAAATACCCCTCATCAATTACAAAAAAATAAAGGGGAAGGAAAAGTTGTGATCATGGCACAGGGAAAAATTCTAAGTAGCTTAAATTTAATATAATAAATATTAATAGGTTAAGTTACCAAGCATAAATGGAATTTATTTAAATTATTTCAGGATGGTAACATTTTTAAAATACTTTTCCAATAAAAAAATTAAATATTTTGCCTATATATTTTTTTTAAATATGACTAAGATCTATAACCCGAGTCATCTCTTGATTTGATACAGAAAGTGACCTGCATTTTCTCGAAGTGCACCCAGAGATACAAAAGAAAGTGAAAAACACTGAAGACTGGGATGGGACCTTCTTCATGGGAGTCACCGTTTACACTTTCCCAAGCCAGCACGCAATCAGACAGAAGGCAGAAGTTGAAGTGGAGAAAAACCTCAATCAAAGCTGGCTGCATAACTTAAATGCAGAGGTCATCATTGGCCCGCTGTGTTGGATACTGGATGGTGGATAGTGGATAGTGAATAGTGTGGGTTGTTTGTTTGGAAAGTGCTGGGATTCCGATGGCGATTGCCGTGGCGATGCCAATAGTCAGATGGATGGCACACGGAAACGCACATCACGGCAAATGTCCGAAAATAAAAGGCCGAAAGAAAGAAGTTAACTGTGGCTTATTAACTGAAAATGAAAGCGTTTGCCGAAAAGACAAAGCCCCCGTGTCCGTCCATTCGGAGGGGCATCAGTTCAACCGGTTTTCCGGCCCAGCTAATCACAGCCCCAGTTTTCATCACTGTTACAGTTCCGCATCTGAAGTCAACACCCAACTGACCTCTGACAGACCGAAAAAAAAAAAAAAAAAATCTTTATAGCCTCAGAAAACGGGCAGAGAAAAATTAGGGGGAGAAGCACCACAAGGTACGGAAATAGTTATATTTAGAGACTGAAATAAAAACATAAATGTTCTCAATGCAACTAAAAACCCTTAAAAATCAAAAATGTTTAAAGAAAAATAAAAAGGAAAGGAAAAATTAATGAACGAAAATGTGTACGGAGCAAAAGCAGAAAGCGAAAATGACATTAAAATGTCATTTGAGGTTGCCAAGTTCATTATGTTATCAATACAAAATCACTTATTTTATGACAATAATTCTAGTAAACTTTTCCGCTTCTATAGAGATCCTAAAGATTACTGGTTTGTTTTGTAAACTAAGATTGCTCAGATAAGGGAAATAAGTTTATGTTTCTATTATTCTCGATAATACTAGGAGAACTAGGAGAAATGAAAAAGAGAATTTTAATATAACTTTAAAATCAGATCGTTAAACTTTTCAAGTGAAATATTTTTAATAACATTTAAAAAAAAATTTACTGCCGAAATAGATTTTTTAAAAATTATAATAACGACATACAAAAATTTATTTAAAATATTTTTAGGAATTTTTAATTTAATGGAACAATTGGAAAAAAAAAACTTTCTTGTATATTAAGTACTAATTGAACAAGAATTGGTTAACACAATTTCTTTCTATGCTGAAAATCTGATTATTAAATTCTTATAAAATTCTATTAAATAGTTGCTAACTGTAACCGAATTTTAATATTGATTTTCCTGGAGGTCAGTATTATAGTTGGGATCTTGTACTTACCTCTGTTGATGACGATGGCGCTGCTGTCGCCGCTGCTGCTGGCGCTGTGGTCCGGCTGATCCCCGATCCCGTCCTGCTCCTGCTCCTTCGGGGGGAGTTGCTCCTGGCCGGAGAAGTGGACACTGCCGTCGCGATGGAAGTGCAGCTCGAATCCGGTGGGCAGGGCGGCCTCGTAGTCGCGCGGACAGGTGTGCGCCTGGGCGGCCACCTGGTGGTAGAGGCTGGCGAACTGGTGGATCAAAGCCCAGGCCTGATCCTCGGAGAGCGGGGCCTTGAAGGAGTCGAGGATGTTGTGCAGCGTGACGCACTGTTCGGGCGAGGAGCACTGGTGGAAGGCCTGCAGGATGAGGGGGTGGGCTCCGCCCGGCTTCTCCGGATGATGCAGGCCGTTCGATGAGATGGCCAGCTGATCCGCTGGCAGCTTCTGCTGGGCATCCCCGTTGGCGCTGTCCGGCGAGGTGGACAGGAAGCCCGCCTCCTCGTTGATGTCCTTGAACTTCGAGCTGGGGGTGGGAGTGGGCGTGGGCGTGGCCTTGACCTTGGTCGGGGGCGGTGCCGCCTGCTCCTCCGCCTGGTGCTCCGTCATTCTGCGTGTGTGGGTGGGTGTGTGTGTGTGGCTATCGATGGCTTTCAACCCGATTCCACTGCAAATCCGGCACTGGCCAACATATAATTGATTTTTTCGCCCCTTCGTTTGGGCTAACCTGCAAATTTAGCGTTTTTATTTGTTTGTTTTGTTTGTTTTTATTTTCCTGGACTGCGTTTTTCTTCAAATATTTTTCTTTTTTCGCCTTTCTCGGTTTTGTTTTAGTGTGGTAATGGGGCAAAGGGAATTTTTAAATAGTAATAATAACAACACAAAGCAAGGGACTGTCGCCGCACACAATTTGAATATTTTGTTTGTCGTCAGGCTACATTTAACACAAAACACAAGGGTATAACAAAAAACACATGATTTCGGCTCGAGAATATTGAAAAACTGGCGTCACGTTTTTGGTTGGCACTTTTTGATTTCGGCATTCGCAAATTGCCGTTAGATTCTGTGGGGAATTTCACCACACTGGCGCAACTGGAAATCACGCACTTGGCTTTATTTTTATTTTTATTTGTATTTTATTTCACTTGCTTTTCTTCATAATTTTAAATCTCTGTTTTTTTGTTGTTGCTCTGGTAATCGCACTTTTTTCGTTTGGTTTTTCCGCTTTTATTTTTCAAACACGTCCGCTCGCCGCGACTTAAATTTTACTTCTGCTTGGAAACCGCTCGCAATTCCGATTGGAAGTCTCGCTCAGCTGTTTGGCGCTCTCTCTCTCTTCTCTCTTTGCTTTGCTTTACTTTGCTACGCTCTCCGCTCTCTGGCTTTTATTTTGATTCCGGTTTTCGCTTTGCTTTTTCTGATAAGAAACTTTTGTGTTTGGTTTTGGCTTTGCCTTTGCTCTGGTTGGAATTATTTATTGTTTTTTTTTAATTTAGTTAATTTTGGGGAGCAATTTGTGCTAAGGTCAACAGCGGAGTCTGTGCTTATAGGTCATAAAAAACTCTTTGAGTGGGCGGAAATGGTTAGATCTTAAGAAAATGTTTAGTTGAGTTTAGTTCATTTAGTTGAGTTTAATGAGAGCTACTCATTACATGGTTTTTTTTGTGTTATTTTTGGGGGCCATGCATTGAGATCTTAACTTAATCTTATACAGGAGATGTATCTGGAGATCAATTAAAATTTTAGTTAAATCTACTTTTTAAAAATATTTGTTATTTAATTTTAATCAAACAATTTTTGTACTTATTAAATATTCCAGGACTAATATAGTATACAAATAATTTTAATAGGTTTTTTAAATAAAGAAACATAATTTTAATAATTTCTAAAGAAAATAATCGGGTTTATTTTTTATATTTTTATTTTTAAAATAATTAAATAAATTCACTATTTTAAAACAACACTTATTTTTAGCCAATGCATACTAAATACACTTTAAAATCACCCTTATTAACACGCAAACCGCCGCAGAAAGATACTTATCTATATGGAATTTCACCGATTCAAGGTCTCTAGAAAACCGCGCTGCATCCGACAACATTTGTAACTAAAAGATCAGTGACAGGCGCATTTTTACGAGTTAATAAGCCATAAGTACGGCCCAGCACCCCCGCCCCCCGCCTACCGACCAAGTTATGATATATGAGCCGTAAATTGAAACTTTATATCAATGCCGACTCGCTGGATGGGGGAGAGATTTGCATACAATATTATTACAGCATCGGCATCTGCGGTAAACTTTAACGACTTGTTTTTGTCCGATGGATAAAGGAAAAACAACACAGCCTTTATTAATTGGCCGAGGAGCCTGCCCACGTAATCATCGGATAGCCATAAAAAGTGTGTCCTCCGCTAGGGAACAACAACCGATGGTCTGATGGTCCCCAGCTGGCCAGGAAAAAATGACGACACCTCGTATCGCGGATTGTCATTAAAATCGCAGAAGCCAGTCGCCGGCAATTGTCGCAATTTTATGTGCCAATCGCTAATGAATTAATTAGACAACTGCGTTGGCTTACACCCAATAAAAAAATGATAATTATTGGCCAAATAGGCAGACAGATCTCTTGGCTGAGATGGCGGGTTCAACAGCCGGTGTCGAACTTCAACCCACTGCAAATGCGATAGGTTTGTGTTGGTATATTGCAGCCGGATCGCTTCGGATCGGATCGGTCTTTGTTCTCCGCACAATATGGGAACCTGACTCGCATGAATCACTCACTATAACTCGCAGAACTCAACGGGCCAGAGCCAAATAAATGTGCATGCGAAAAACATAGCCAGAAACAAATGTGGATAGGTGTAGTTATGATGCCCCGTAAATTGGGGCATATAGAAAAAGCTAAAAAAAACCATGTTATGAAATAAATACGATTTATTTATACCTCCTTCCAGAAACTGTGTTTATTTCTTATTCACATTAAGCTCGATTTGAGTTCACTTTAACGAGTATATAAAAATATCTTTAAGCCCCTTTTTACATCATTCGTTTATTATAAGCTTATTAAAGGCTGCTTAATTTTATGATTACCTTTAAATTGATTTTTTTACGATAACATTTTATTGAAAAATACATTGGACTCTCGACACAATGAGCCAATAAAACCATTGAGGGAATTTAATATATATTTGCAATTATATATTTCAACAGAGAGAAATATTCAAGTAATTTTAATTTTAAACAAGAAAGGAAGCTACCTTCGGCCAGCCGAAGCTTATATACCCTTGTAGATAAAAGAATACTCACTCGGTGCAGTTCCAGGGATTCCAGATTCAGCGTTTCGATTTATTTCAATTTTGTTTTTAAGTAGTCAAGAATCAAAACGCCTACTTCCTACAAAGTTACAATGAATTTTCTTATATTTGTTTGGGAGCCTTAAGATATAGTGGTCCGATCCGGCTGGCTCCGACATATGTACTACCTGCAATAGAAAGAAGACCTTCGGGAAAGTTTCATCGCGATAGCTTTAAAACTGAGAGACTAGTTCGCATAGAAACGGACAGACGGACAGACGGACAGACGGACAGACGGACAGACGGACATGGCTAGATAGACTCGGCTATTGGTGCTGATCAAGAATATATATACTTTATGTGGTCGGAAACGTCTCCTTCACTGCGTTGCAAACATCTGACTGAAATTATAATACCCTCTACAAGGGTATAAAAAGAGAAAACTTAAAAGTTTACTCATCTTTTCTAATACAATTTTAAATGAGAACGTCAGGATTATTTGTATGTTTTAATTATTTATAAAATATATTTGTATGATTTTTTAAAGGTAATTTAGTAGTCGTTTCCACACCGAATCCTCCACTGACTCCATTGCCTGTTGACGACTGCTGTTCTATTGGGAAGGTTCAGCCAAGCGTTGCATTTTTGGTCAATTACGTTTGTCGCGCGGGTGGCACTTGGCCAAGCTCAAGCTCCAAGCTGCAGCCTCAGATTCAGATACATATATATACATATATCTGACTATATATAGCTGCTGGACTTTCAACTCTGCCTGGTCAGTAGGTGGGCGTGGATTCTGAGTCTGCGAATGGGCATTGTTTGTCATGCAACGAACCTCTCCCCACGAAATAACACCGGAAATGTGCATCCGTTTTGGGCCAGAGTTGCAGCTACTCCACCATTTGGCTTTGGGTTCTACCAAACGAAAATGGGAGCTACAAAAATGTGTGTCAAATGCAGGTAAGTAGAGTCGCTTTTCGGCCAAATTTGGTTGCTGCAGATTGCGTACGACGGGTTGCCACATGTTGCAGCAATTTCTGCAGAGGATGCAACGCTTCGGTGCGCTTGACACTTTGCCCAGAAGTTGCATAAATCCGCAGACGAAACAGTTGCACTTCAGAGCCCTTCAAAAGGGTAGTTCCACAAATCCATTGGCTTTGAATAAATTTCTTGTATTTTTAGGACATTTATTTTGGGAGAAAATATCATAAAAATGGATTAATTAAAGATGTTCTTATTTTTTCTTGGTATTTAAGTGCTTATCATCGAGGTGAGAGGGAACTGAAAGGTCTGCTATCTGGGGATTCGGTCGGAAATTGTTATTATTGTCACAGCCACCGACTCGGCGTTCATTAAAGCAAATGGACAAAACCTGACAGTCAGTCAACCCGTCAGATGCGGATGGATATAAATACATAGACACATGGATGCATGGGGGTCGGAAACCGAGGGCCTGGCTTTAACTTTGAGGCGGGGATCTCGACTCACGTGTGGAAATCACGGCAGTGCAACTAATGGGCTTTACTTTTCTTCGGCTCCGTTGTCTCCTGGCTCTTTACAATTGTGTAATATTCTGTCGGCATGTTTATGCCCCTGCCTGCAGACTGTAGAGCTGCTCTAAAAACGTGATGCAATTAGGCCTTTGAAAGGCTGCAGCAGTTGGCCAGAAGAATGGAATAAAAATGGGGGGAAGACAGAAGACTGTGTGTGTGAAAAGGGCGGCGGAGTTATGATTATCGTACGTGTTCTTCTCGGGTAATCAATTTTTTCATGTCTTCATTACGATCTGTGTGTTTCGAATGTGGGAATTTCGAGCCCATCTTAATGGGCTATATATTCATGGGGGGCCTAGAATACGTACTCTTAATTGCAACGAGAGATGCGAGCTAATTTGCAAATGCAAATCAACTTTCTTCTATAATCCTAGGGTGGAAATTCGCACTAACCACCTGTAATTGAGACCTGTTTGGGAACACCCATTACTCATGATCATCTTCCATGTGCCACATGTGGCACATTGACCCAAGTGCCAAATACCATACCAGCTAACCCAGAAAAGGCCAATGACAAAAAGAATGTCTCTCCGCTGAGAAGCAAGTAATAAGTATTTTCTATTTTCTTTGGGCCAACTTCAATGATCACAATACGCATTATTCGGGGGGCTTAAGGTATCGGAGAACTATAATTGGGAAGAATCGGGGGAAGAATGAGAGGAAAGAGCGCAGAATCGGGGGCCGTGCTCAAGTAGACGTGACAAGAGACCTTCGGAGAAAGCGGAGGATCGACGGAAATCGCTGAAATCACCGAAATCAACGAAATCGCAGAACGATTCCTATGCGGCGCGCTCTAATTTGTGTTCATGCAATTATTTCAGCTAACTCCGATTTGCCTGCGAGCCAGAGAGGCCCATTTAAACGGTAGGGCAGCATATTAAAACTAAGTGCCACTTAAGACCGCCTGCCCAAAAGCTCTTCACATCCAGAACTTGCGCAAAAAACCCCTGACAGCCAAAGAGATTGTCTCTACAATTCCGAAACTAGCCGAATACTAGAAGTACAGGTGGAAAAAATTGGTAGGTAGATGGAAAAAATATTACTAACTATATGAACATTTTTAAAAATTTTAAGTTCCAACTTAAACTGAAAGAAATGAATTAGTGAACCAAATATTTAAATTTCTTTAAGTTAAGATAAGAATTATTTTCCAGATCTTTCGAAAAATATTTTTAAGCTCAAAAGATTTGATTTTCTTTCAGTGCACAACTCCAACTCGGACTGGGGCACATTTAGTAGTGGCTTGATCATTTCGACTGCCTCCTATGTGCAATGCAATTTCTAAAACGTGATTCGTGCAGAGACAAAATGCCATACTCCACTCCCCCAATCGAGTCGATCCGCCACCCGATCTTCAGTAGAGCACAACAAAAGCCCATTAATATAATTTGTGTCTAGAGTTATTTTTCGCCGCGACCCGCTGTCTGCGCACTTTTGAGCATTTCGACTGGGCTTCGTCCTAAACGCTTATGATCCGCAACTCGGAGGCAACTTGATGTTGGGAAAACATGCCACAGTTTTTCCATATCGCATTGTTTTTTCCATTTTTTTTTTGGCTGTCGGGGTCACAGTCTCCGCGCCTCACTCCCAATATAGATCAAATAAAACCGCTGATCGTGTCGTCGCCGCCGTCGATCGATTGCCATTTTGTGTGGGCCTTTCGTCTTATTTATTTTACAGAATTGTCTACAACGTTTATTGGCTGGCGCTTAATTTTTATTAGCGCGCAGCCGAAATGAGTTTTTCATGGGAACAAATCGATCGGTAGTCCCCGAAGGGGTTGGCGTGCTGACAGCCCGATAAATTTGAGTTAGGTTTCCCTTCTGGAAATGGTCACCTAAGCGTGGGCGGACACAATTCGGATCATAAAAGTTATGGGCTCGATGTGATGAGTCAATCGATGGGCTTAATAGGCCATAAGCTTTGGGAGTTCCAGTTGTTGAAATTACTTATAAAATATTTTTAGTTTACCAAGCCATTTCAAAGATTTTTAAAATATTTTCAACTCCTCCTCTACATAAATTAAAATAATTCTATCCAAATCGAATTGGTATATCTTTTACTTTCCTTGATATAGGATCTGCCTGAGTAATCGCTGCTTGGGACCCCCTTCTGGTTAATATTTCAGTTCCAGCGTTCAGAGAACACTTTAGAGCCGCTTTAGCCGGCAATCTTGGACGCTGGAATGGCGACAACAAATCAGCTCGGATCGGTGTGCGATCTTGCGGTTGCCCGGCCATAAACTAAGTGACCACCTGCGAGTCGGTCGGCCGGCATAAAGCAAACTCTTTATGGGCCGCTATGTTCGACGATGACAACGACATCTTTTCGATGGGAAGCCATTGGTGGATGGACACAGGGATCTGCAGATCGGCGTTCTCGTTTGATGATAATGAAGATCTCCCCCAGAACGTTCTCACTTTTCGAGGAACACTGGAAATATAGCATACATAGCGCTTAAAATCACGGTTTTTATTGGATTGAGAAAAGATTTATTTTTGTAAAATACACTTTAAGTATATCTTATTTAGAGTCAATTATATCTTTAAATCTTCATAATCATTAAATTATTTTCTCTGTGTCCGGGAATAAAGTCGACTGGTGGTCTAATGATGGGAAAAAGGCGACATTTCCTGCGATTTCGAAAAGAGGCGACCACACAGCCGAATCGCTGGATTCGATGGAGAAAGAGAGAGTGAGAACCCAAGATCTGGACTTGCAACCTGAGCGCGCACTTTCATTTTCAGCTGCCCGCCGCATAATTAATTGCGACCGAAAGTGGACGACGATTTTTCGTGGCGGCAGAAAGTAAAAAAGCACTCCGATATCCAAACGAAGGAACAACGAACCTGTAGCGAACCACTAAACCGGATCAAAGAGGCTGCATTTCGTACCCGGAGCAACTTTCTTCTTGCGGCTTCTGACACACTAAACTGACGCAACGCAGCGTGTGGCAAGTGTCTGTCGCCCCTCGATTCCGACTCCTGCCCCAAAAAAGGTGATCTTGCAACGCCCACGAAAAGTCCAAGGAGGCCTGAAATGCCACTTGAATGCCTGGGCATAAATGAAAATTAAGCAAGTTTTTTGGCCCCTCATGTGGGCGATGACAAAAGGGAACAAAGGGGGTATATGTACCTCATTCACACGCTTGAAAAGCTCAGGATACCCTGTAATTCAGTTATTAGAGGATATTAAATATGTTGGTATTTTTAAAGGAATTGAGTAAATGAAATATTGTGAGGCATCATAAAAATATAAATAATTAAGTAGGATAAAAAATTACCTATAAGTCGTTACAAATTTCTAACAAATTTCAAATTTAGTCCAAGCATAGGAAAATAGAGGACAAAAAATAAATTATAACAAATTCCCAAGTCAAAGAATATGTTAATGGGTAACTGATAGTTCAAACAAAACGATGACTTCCATTTTTTTTTGCAACAAGGAGTGTTGCAGTTGTCGAACCTAAACAAAAACCCAAACACAGACCGAAAAGTAAAACCGAAACCAGCAGAAAATCCGATCGACAGTCCAGCGCCTGACAGAACCAGTTTAATGGCACATGAAATTTCACCGAAAAATCTGTGAATCTCCAGGCCTAGCTAAAGAGGGGGGGAGCTGAAAAGGGGGCGTGGCAAGTTGATTTGCTTAAAAAGAAATTCACTTTCCTTCGACGGTTTTACTTTTTCAAATTTTCTGTGCGAATGTTTGCCGTTTCTGGATTTTCCTTCGGCTCGACTTGTGGCGAGTCTCTCTCGGCACGGAAAATAATTTCTATTATTTACTGATGGTCATTAGATTGACCTTTATAAGGTTAAAATATTAAAAAAAATATTTTCAAACCAAAAGTTTCCAAAAAATATGGTCTCCAAACGTTGCTCCTCTGTGAATTAAAATTTAAATATTATTTGTGCTTGAGTTTTGTTTCCTGTGTAGCGAAGGCGAAGAAGGTCACGGTGTGTTGTAGATCATGAGGATTGGATGCGATACAAGGCCCACAGACAACAGGAGGTGGTCAAAGTCAAGTCGCAGGCTTAAACTAGGCATGGGACTCCGAAAGACCCACAAAGTCCACAATTGAATGCACATTGGCAATGAGCGCAAAAATACTTTTAATGAAAGTTGGCACTTTGCTTTTTGGGTTTCCTCGGCTTGTTTGGGCTTTTCGGTTTTTCTCGCCGTTTTTTGTTTTATTTTTTTTTGGTTTGTTTAGTTTGTTTGGTTTTTTGATTTGTGGCAGGCAGCCGCGGAAAATGGTCTTGTGGTTTTGTCAGAGGAGCATTTCCACAGGAGCTCTCCGTTTGGCCCAAAGCCGAAGTGTTTGAGCCAGCTAATTGGATGTGGACAATGGTTGGTTTATTGTCTGCGGATCCTTAATTGGTGGGCAGGCACATCAAAGCGGATATATTTGTGGGCTGGAAAGTAAATCAAGTCAACTGAATAGCAACCTGAGCAGGCGAAAATGATTTAATACTCGCCACTTTCACTATCGATGAGGGTGACATTTTATGATGGTCATAAAAAAGTGGTTAAAAAATGATTTGGGATATTACTAAAATGTAAACGGCTACCTTTTTGTTGATATCCATAAATAAAGCATTAAAATGATTTTATGGCCTGAGTAAAATGCGATAGTTTAATGATTTAACTCGCAATTTTAATATGATTTGTGATGATGATTTATTCCACGCTGTTGCAACTTCATGTCTAGTGAAATGTGTCTTGGATGATACGTTTTTCTTTGGGACATTTGAAATAGTTATTGTAAGAACCCCAGTAAAAGAGTTTCTCTGAAGTCACCGTTTAAAAGAGTGCGTGTCGTTTGGGGTCCAGGATTTATTTCTTCTTCTCCTCCTTCTTGTCCTTCTCCTTTTTATCCTTGTCCTTCTTGTCCGGTTCCTCCTGTGCCTCCGGTGGTGGTGGCTCTTCCTTCTGCTCCTCCTCCGGTGGAAGACCCAAGTGCATCCTCGACCAACGGGGCATGTTAAAGAGGCACCAATACGGAATGATCATCATGACGACCAAGGATCCGCAGCCGATGATCAAACGTTGGGCAGTACTCATCGGAAATCGGGGTGGACCGGCCATGGGTATGTAGTTACGACCCAAGGACGATCGCAGCTTAAGGGTCCCCATTTGGTTGAGATGCTTGCGCAGCAAAGATAAACTCATGTTGGTTCCTGGGATTTGATTTAAAAATAAAACTTTAATTAGTAAAAATAAGTTTATAACTTTTTAGAAGTAAAATATTTGTTATTTTTAAGTCTTTTCATCAAGAAAGTCATATACGAAATAGAACAACTTAATAACCAGCAATTTTTTAAAATACAAAATTAATCTATCAAGTTCAACTTACCAAAGATGTTAACGGCTGTGTGGTTCAAAAGAAAATGACAACATATAAGAGAATATTAATGTGACAACTCACCCCAATAATACGGAAGACCCACAGCCTGCTGAAGGCTGGGAATAAAAAACTGAGCAGGAAACAATCGAAAGATGGGGTTCAAAAACAAAGGTTAAACAGGCATTAAAAATGCTAATGAAAGATATGTGCCCGGAGGCCTGATTTCAATTCAATTCGGATCCGCAGACAGAGCACTTGAGGAGAAATGTGAAATTATAATTTGGAATTCCGTGCGCAGACAATTGTTTGGATGAATGGGATTATTATATAAAATGTGCGATGAACTGCGAATGCTTTCGGATTATTATTGCTGCGAAAATCCCCAATGTTGTGGATTTATTGAAGTTGAAACAACTCAATTAACAAGTTTCTCAACATAAACATAAGCAATTATAAATTAAAATTATTTAATGAATTTACTTTGTTGGTGTGTGAAGCTTGATACAAGGGAAATTAAGCTTTCAATGATAAAAACAGTAGTCTATCAACAACCAAAAACAGTTTTTATAAAAATGTTAATGTCAAATAATGTTTTATTTAAAAATCAAAAGAACATTTAAAAGGAGCGGGTTGCCAAATAGGATTGTCACCTTTTTTGAAAATATGAGTATTAGCAATGACCCGAACCATTGCGGTGGTTGCTGCCCTTGCTAAATATTCAGCACTCTGTGTCGAAAGCTAAATAATACATCACAATTGGTTTAGTTCAAAGAATGGCCAAACGACAATCAAGAAATGATAAGATAACAAATTTATATTTAATTTTTAATTTATTAATTAATAATAATTTTACTGTGGGTTCCACAAAAAAATTCTTCGTTTTCGGGATGAATCTTTCGTACTTCCGGATTCAAAATATATTAAGCAAAAACACCTCTTAACAAGGTAAAAAAGAAGGGACGATGGCACACTAAACATACTAAAGTTCTGATATTAAATTAAATAAAAATAATTTTATCTTATTTTATTTTTTTTTCCTTGCACTTTCTACAGTGCTTTTTTCTAAGTTAAGAACAATTTTAGTTTAGGATTATTTCAAAATGATTATGTAAATATATTAATTCATTGTCCATTTAAACAAAACAATTTGAGTACCTACCCCAAAAATCCCCAGATCAATATCAGCGAATAAATTGTGCATTTTCCCATCTATCTTAACTTACTAGATTTACTATCCGCTGATAATACTGGGGATTCGCCCGAGTAACCTCTAATCAGTAATCGCGTAACCCCTAATCAAAAGGCAAAGAAGTAGCGTCAGGTTGTAAAGAAGTATAAAAGAGCAGGTCTCTACCGCATTTGAGTTAAGTTCGTAAGATCGCCTTTCAGTGAAAATGAATCGTTTGCTTTTGAGTTTGGTGGCGCTGGTCGCCTTGAGTGCCTGCGTCCAAGGACATCCGGACCTCGACTTCCCCTTCGGGCGGATCGTCAATGGAGTGGAAACGACAATCGAGCAGCACCCCTACCAAGTGTCCATCCAGACGAGATCGAGCTCCCATTTCTGCGGCGGAAGTTTGATTAATTCGGATACCGTTGTGACCGCCGCCCACTGCATGCAGAAATATACTGCCAGCGAGATGCAGGTTCGTCTGGGATCCACAACCAGGAACTCCGGCAGTGAGGTGGTCGCCGTGAGGGCCTTCAAGTTCCACGAGGGCTACAACAGCACGACCAAGATCAATGACGTAGCCATCATCAAGCTGAGCACTCCCGTTCGCCGGACCTCCCTGATCCGGACTATTGAATTGGCTACTTCTGATCCCGCCAGCGGAACCCCGGCTGTGGTCTCCGGCTGGGGCACCACCTGCTACCTTTGGTGCTCCTCCACAACAACCCTTCTGGAAGTGGAGGTGGATATTGTGAGTCAAAAGGACTGCGGCAGTAGCACCTATAATTACGGAGAATCGATCACTGCAACAATGGTCTGTGCCAACGGCGAGAAGAAGGACGCCTGCCAGGGTGACTCGGGAGGTCCTCTGGTGGCCGACGGCAAGCTGGTCGGAATCGTGTCCTGGGGCAACAGATGCGCTCGGACCGGATACCCAGGAGTCTATGCCAGTGTTGCCGAGCTCAAACCATGGATCGATGAGACCACTGCTTCGTTGTAGATCAATAGAATGAATAAATTCAAGAGCATTTTAAAAACATCTGTTTATAAAAAAGTATCTTTAAAGATTAGGAGGAGATTTCTGTTATACCATCAATGGAGTGGTTTAAGGAGGGACTTTTGATCCTTGTGATCTTGGGGTTCGAAAGATAAAAAGTTGCCTTTGACCATGTATTTCGCCTAAAATTTATGTTCAAATATAGCGACAAACAGAACTTTTCCAGCACTGACGTCCTTTTTTCTCCAAATCCTTAAGTGGGAAAATTTTTTTTACAAACATTTATAAAAATGGAGTCTAATTTTTATTTTTATAGAATTAAAGAATTAACATAAAATCCACTTAATAAACTTATTCCGCCATAAAAGTGTAAAAAAAATATTTTTTAAAATATCCTAACAACATAAATCTTCAATTAACCCTTTGCGCCCTGGATCCGATTTATTTAATATCCTTTTCGAATTGCACCCGCGGCCTTTTGTCGTGTTCTTTTGGGGTTTCTTTCGTTTCTTTTCTTTATTGTATTTTTTTGTCTGTTGCTTTGGCAATATTTTTCAAGTTTTTTTTAACACACTTTTCGTCGCTTAAGCTACGACAAATATTTTGATAGATGAGCTTAAGCACTCACCGAATCCGTCGTTGATATTTGAAACTGGGACCTGTCCCGCTTTGAGTTCGCTTACAAGTGGCCGTTTCGCCTTTTTCCGCCACCCACCCGGCAAACTCCCATTCCACCACCCACTCCCGCAGGTTTTTCCAAATTTTCCCCCACTTCACCCACCCAGTGCCCCGCATGTCCTGCGCCAGATCTTCTTTTCGGTGTTGTGTTTGCTCTTTGTGCGGCAGATGAAGTTTCGAGTGCAAGTTTTTAAGCGAGTTTTGTGCGAGAGTTTCGCTTTAAAGATTTAAGAGGAAACGCAAGGTGTTCGTGGAAAACTTCTTGTTCGGGGAAATTTCCCGTTTGAGTGTGCGATTTCAGGGAAATAGGATTAATGAAGCTTTCATCGAGTGCGGGGATCCTTGTAGGAAATTTTAAGTTCTTGATAAATACTTTACGGCCATGTTCATAAAATAAATATAGAGCAGGAGTGCTCGAAGTTTTAAAGCTAGTAATCATTTTTTAAATATTAAGGTGGTCAAATGAAAATAATCATTTGGTGTGTAACCAATTAAATTGAAAACGAAAAAAATTGTAATTTAAGTTTTAAGTGTTAAAAAATGGTTTTGATTTTTTCTTAAAAATTACTCATTTACGGTATTTGTTTTTTAGTACTAATGAAATATTTTTAATACACATATCTTATTCCTTAATAGCTATTGATAGCTTGTTATAAAATAAAAATAATTATATATTTTTCCATTTCTTGCCGCTCTCTAACTCTCGTAAACTTGGGCGACTAGAAAAAGTGGAACAAAAACTACACCAATAACAAAGAAATCTGGAGCAGAGGGAAAGTATAAAGCGAGATAAGTTTTCAAGCCGGAAAATTACACAACTTACCCGAGGGGGTGAAGTGGGAGGTAAAGGGGGAGCGGACAACGCTAAGGCCAGGGATCAAGGAGCAAAACAGGGCCTAAGAATATTTACGATTAGACGCAGGACTCGCATTCAGACAACATTGTGAAGGACTCATGCATATGTATTATATGCATGCACGTAGTACGGCTGTGTGTGTGTTAGTGTGTGTGTGTGTATGGGCGGAAGTGGAAGTGAAAATGGCACACGCAGTGTCCTCCAACTAAGTCTCCCTTTTCAGCCACTTGGAGCGCTGCCAGCTTGTGTCCCCGTGTGTTGGTGTGTGCCAGTGTGTTAGTCTGTGTGCCAGTGTTAGTGTGTGTGATGAGCAGAGGACAGTCCTGAGTCCTGCTGACACTTGAGTGGAGACAGACAACCACTTGACTGCTGACTCGCCCCGAACAGCCAGGACAACAACGGGACAAGGCGCCACCGGAAGGAGGATGGGCCATATTTAAGGCTGTGTGGACAGCAGCGGTTAAATTAATAATTATTAGAGGGCTCTTAATATTTATATAATTTATATTTAATACGACCTTGTTTTTAAAAAGAATTTAAGAGTAGAAAACGAATAAACTTTATATTTTAGACAACATTTCCGGCCGAAGGACTTCAGTTTCCAGTGCCATTTTTCCATTAAATTTAGTATTGTATACTAGTTTTAATTTGACAAAATAAAAAAAATAGACAACATTTGGCAATATAAATTTAAATACATTATTTATTATTTATATAGACAGTCCTTAAACTTTTCCAAAATATTCAGAACATTAATATATTTAACTAAGCTCTCCACTATTTCCTTGACTGCCAAAGTTCAGGGAGTAAGTCACGGCATATCCTTATGCCGAGGACATTAATGTGCGTAACTTGGACAATTACCACAATGAAAATGACTAAGAAAGAAGTTTGCAAGGGGTTTGGGGTAAGATAGTTTTAGGAACAGCTGAATTTAGTGCCCAAATATTTGCAATAAGAAGAGACCAGAGAACAGAAAAGGATATGGCAGGACCGCAGCAGATGGAGAGCACAACAATAAAAATCCGATGGCAAATATGAGCCCAATGAATAGGAGACTGTATTGAAAGCTCTCCTCCGCTCTTCATGCCTGTAATTACATGGGGACTTAAGTGCTTCGGGATTGTAGTTGTTATTTTCGTTTTTGCGGTAATAATGCGAAAAGTCCTCTGTTCGAGAACACAGTCAAGGGAAAAGAGCGGAAAATAAAGTAAACTAAACTCGCATCAAATGTGATTTGAGGCGATGAAGTGTAAGTACATATCGGTCTTAATTGAAAGTGGAAGCCCAGCCTTCGTGTTGCAGCTCAGGTTTTAGTTCGAATCGCTCTTTTTTTGGGATTATGTTCTTTAAACGTTTTTTCATGGTTTTCCATGAAGGCGTGAAGTGGTTTTTTTTGGCGGTGTGGCCACAGGTATTTGTTTTAGTTTGCAGATTTTGAAATACAGCTGGAAAGTTTATGTTTACAATCCTTTTTTTCACAAACTAGCTAGTCTATCTATTGAATTTGAATAATGCTCCTTTTAAGCTGTTAAGATCTGAGTATCAGAAAATGCGGCTGAAATCTAAAAGTAAGCAACGTTTTATTATAAGGCTTTATTTCACTGCATAAATTTATACACCTTCATAAATTAATTCAAAAGCGTAGTGATTTCTGTGATATCACCTTTTTGAAACATATTTGCTGAAATACGTGCCAAAAAACATATAGATTTACTTCGCAAAGATCTGTAAATAAGTGCACATCATCATACTCTTAGCTAAAGGCTATTTGTTATTTCTGTTGCCCAACTATTTGTCGTTTCGCACCCAGAATTCAGTATTTTTTCCTACTTTCGCTCACTCATTTGGCAATTGTCTTTTTCATGTAAATGTGGCCCGGGATTTCATGCACCAACACCCAAAATGGGTTAGCCTAAAGGCAGGCAACACTTAATTTTTTTATTGTGGCTGTTGTCCTGCGTCGGGTTGGTGTTCTCAACCTGCGCCCGGGGGTATGCAACAGCTTGTGTTAATCACTTGCCCAAAAGACCTTAATGAGCACAGCTACAACACGAACAGCAAAAGCGGGATATAATAAAGGCGTCCAGTTTTCCGACTATAATGTACCCAATTTCATGAAGAGCTTATCAGGCGTGCTGCATAAATCACTTGTGGTTTGAAATCTCTTGAATGGGTGTTTAAAAGTATGCTGTAAGATCGGAAACTTTGGTTTATACTTAATACTATGCTAGGAAGTTTTTCATGGAAATTGTAAATCTTATTTTAGTAAATTTTCTGTCCCTTAATTAACAGTTTTAAAAGAAAGTTTTTTGATTAACAAATTTAATTAGGTCGAAAATACCCTCCGATTACCTGGTACAAAAAGTGGAGAACTACCCAACATTATCATTAAAAAAATCAATTTGCAATTATGTGCACCAAAAGTGTGAGAGCTTAAAAAAAGTGACAAAAACTGTATCACGTTGGGCGAATGTATAAATTTTACAGCGTAAGTGAAAAATGTGTTAAGTGCATTAATATTAAATTTTATTTTTCCATGGTCGTCTGCGGAAAAATGCGGGGCGGGTCCGCACGTTCGAGCCTACATATACTATGTGTATACATATGTGCACGGATAGGCCTGCCTTAACACGAGGATTCTGCTCTTTTTCATTATGTGAGTCCAGGCAGCAACAACAAGAAGATGAACAACTGTTAAGGCTGAGGATTAATGCGAAAAGATTTACATGCGAAATCAGAAGACTGAAAAAAGGGGAGGTGCCATTGAATTTAAATTACATCTCTTGAGCTTAATATACAATTCGTTTATTTTTTCTCATTAAAAAAAAATATTTTTTTATTTTCGCAGGAATTTTAGAGATTGGTATTTATTAAGATTAATTTGCCACAAAATACTATTCCCACTTTTCCAGTGTACCTATCTACATTGGTTTTATGTGTGGCTCAGTGCTAGACACTGTTCATTGTAAGAAAAGACGAACAAAAAAAATATTAACATGGTCAACAATGGTGAAACATGCACATTTATTTTTAATTTTTTTTTGTTGACGATTTTCGCATTTCTTTTTGAAGATATTCGAATGACATTTGGGATTTCGCAAAAGATATAAGTCCAAACATATGCTGCTTGGAATATTAAATTAAATTAATTAAAGGGCCTGTCTAATTTAACAGAAATATTTAAACGAGCTGCATTAAAAGCAGTTATGAAGGAAAAATGCTATTTTAACCGTCTGAGATTTCCAAGATGAACCTCGACCAGTCGATTTAAGTGAAATGGCAATATCATTTAATTGCATCACCTGCATGTGAAATTTTCCGGTTGAATTTGCACTACCTTGCGGTTATCAACACCTCCGCAAAATCCCGGCAACTAACCAGAAAAAGGCACGTCAGAGGAAAAATCAACCTTTCCTGTCAATGAATGGCTTGCTGTTGTTATGTTTTCCCTCTCTCGGTCCGCTTGAC